GGGGGGGGGCTGGCAGGGGGCGAGGGGGGCCCCCCCCCCTCCTTCCCAGGCTCATCTTTAGGGGAATATTGGATGAAATGGCAAATCCCATTAGTGCTAATCCCAGCTGGGGCGTGGGGACGGTGCCAGCGCTGGGATGGGCGCGAGTGGGGGCTCGGTCCCCCCCCGTGTCACCCCCCAGCCCTGTGTCACACACACCCCCCCGTAACTCAAGGGGGGGCTGAGTCGCATTTGGAGCCAGCGCTGCCATCCCCATCCCTGTGTCCCCTCGGGGGGGCTTCTGTTGGCTGTGCTGATGACACCGGGGGGTCAGACCGGGGGTGTCCGGGGGCTCCCCGGTGGGTGGGAGCCGCAGAGATGACACCGGGGGGCTGCAATGGGGGGTGACCGGGGTTCCCCGGTGGGGGGGGGTGGGCAGCGGAGCCGGCACCGGCGCGTTCCCACCGGCCGGACCGACGGGCTTTGTGCGGCGGGGGCTGACCCGGCGCCCCTAATCCCATTAGCGCCCCGGGCCCCGCCGCCAGCGCGGCTTCCCCACCTCTCGGCAACCGGGGCTGGTATGTGGGTGCGCCGGTGGGGCCGGCGTGCCGATGCCGTCGTCCGGGAGCTGCACCGGGGCCACCACCGGCGTCAACGGGGCCACCGTCCGGGAGCTGTACCGGGGCCACCAGTGCCACCACTGCCGGCAACGGGGCCATCGCCGCTGGCACGGGGCGAGGAATCCGTGTGCCGGTGCGACCCCCTCAAACCGGGGGTACTCTGCGGGCTGGGGACCTCCAGGCAGAGGGACGGCGATGTTTGGGGCAGGTTCGGTCCCACCGGGCCCCCAATCGAGTCCCCCGGGTCCCCCGTTCGGGCTCGGCTTCCCTGGTCCGGCACGGCCGGGGGCTGGAAGGGAAGCTGGGGTGCCGGGAGAAGGGATGCTCTGCACCCGCCGGGGGCCGGGGAGGGGTCCCGGGCCCCGGTGGGCGCCGGTTTCCCCGGGCGGTGCTGCCGCCTGCTGGCACCGGCGGCGACGGGACACCGGGAGCTGTACCCGGGGAACGAGCCCCCCCCGGCCCCCAACCCCGCCCGGACCCCCACCCGAAACCCCACCCGGACCTTCCCTCCCGGGACAGTGCCCGGGCAGAGGCGGACCCCCGTGCCGGCCGGGCTGGGTGGCACCTGGAGGCACCGGCTGGCACCGGGTGGCACCGCGTGGCACCGGGTGGCACCGGAGCGCACGAGTGGCACCGGGCACCGACAGAGCGGTCGGTCCCGGGGAATCCCCCTGTCCCCCGACCCCGCCGGGGCTCGGGGGCAGCCGCGGGTGCCCGTCCCGGGGCCGGTCCCGGGGCGGGGGGGGGGGCGGTCTCGGGGGCGGGGCCCGGGGCGGGGAGGGCGGTCCCGGTGCCGGTCCCGGTTCCTCCGCCGCCAGCCCCGGCCATGCCGTCCCCCGCCGCGCTGCTGCTCCTGGCGCTGCTGCTGCCGCCGCCGCCGCCGCTCGCCCGCGCCGCCGAGAGCGAAACCGAAACCGGCGCCCGGGAGCTGCGGCTGGAGACCATCGTGAGCACGGGGAAGGGGCGGGAGAACCGGGAGGCACCGGGGGCACCGGGGACCCCCGCGGCCCCTTCGGGCGGGGAGCTGGCACCGGCGGGGCACCGGCGGGACGCTGGCGGAGGATGGAGGCACCGGAGGGGGGACGGAGGCACCGGTGGGACGCTGTTGCTCGGGGGGGCACCGGAGAGCCCGGCCTGGGCACGGGGGGCGTGGGGCGCACAGCGTACCGGGAGGACCGGGCTGCGGGATGAGTGCGAGCTCGGGGGGCACCGGGAGGACCGGACTGCCACGGGGGGGGCACGGGGAGGACCGGGCTGCGGGGAGGAACGCGGCGCGCCGGGAGGACGGGGGACCCGGGGGGAGAGTCCCGTTCGCGGAGCGCTCGGGGGACACGTGGGCACGGGGGGTGCGCGGACCCCGAGGCGAGGGGGCCCCGTCCCGGCTCCCGGTGACCCCCCCCGTTGCAGGTGGCCCCCCCCGAGGGCTGCACGGAGCTGTCGGCGCCGGGGGACACGGTGCACATCCACTACACGGTGCGGGCGGGCGGCGGGAGGAACACGTCAGCACTGCGCTCCCGCGGGCGGGGCGGGGGGCACCGGCACGGGGGGGGGGGGCTCGGCCGGCACCGGGGGCGGTACCGGGGGTGGTACCGGGGTGGACACTGGGGTGGCACCGTGGTGGTACGGGAGTGAGTGTAGGGGTGGCACCGGGGTGGGCATGGGGACGGCACTAGGGTGGGCATGGGAGCGACGCCAGGGTGGCACTGGAACTGGGATGGGGACAGCCTCAGGATGGGCTCTGGGGGGCACCTGGACTGGCACAGGGGTAGCACTGGGGTTGGCGGCCCGGGGATGGCACTGGGGTGGGCTCTGGGGCTGGTGTGGGAGAACCCCAATATGGGCATGGTTGGCACTGGGATCAGCCCGAGGATTGCCCTGAGAATGGCCTTAGCACTGCAAGCGGTGGGGATGTCCCCAGGATGGCACGGGGGTGGCACAGTGGGGGACAGGGATGGCACAGGGCGGGCACTGGGATCAGCACCAGAGCAGGAGTGGGATGATACTGGGACCCGCATGGAGAAAGCCCCGGGGCTGCATCCCCAGGGGTGACCACGGCTGTGACCGTGTCCGTGTGTCCCCCAGGGCACCCTGGAGGATGGTCGGATCATCGACTCCTCCCTGAGCCGGGACCCGCTCCAGGTGGAGCTGGGCAAGCGCCAAGTGATCCCTGGTGAGTGGGGAGGGGGCTGAGGGGGCTGAGGGTGGGGGGTACCCAGGGTGCCCCCGGCCGGCCCTGCTCACCCCTCTCCCCGCTCTCCTGCAGGCCTGGAGCAGAGTCTGCTGGACATGTGTGTGGGGTAAGTGGGCATGGGGGGCACGGGGGTGGGCAGCATCCCCCCACCGTGTCCCCACCACGTGGCACCGACGGTGTCCCCGTGGCAGGGAGAAGCGCAGAGCCATCATCCCCCCTCACCTGGCCTACGGCAAGCGGGGCTCCCCCCCCACCATCCCAGGTGAGTGCAGTCCCCGTGGGGTCCCCCCCAAGCCGCTGTGTCCCCCCCCACCCGTGCTCAGGCCGTGCCCCCCTGGCAGGTGACGCGGTGCTGCGGTTCGAGGTGGAGCTGGTGGGGCTGTCCCGGGCCAGTTACTGGCAGAAGATGGTGAACGAGGTGGTGCCGCTGCTGTGCCTGGGGCTGGTGCCGGCCCTGCTGGGGCTCATCGGGTTCCACCTGTACCGCAAGGCCAGCAGCCCCAAGCTCTCCAAGAAAAAGCTGAAGGAGGAGAAGAGGAACAAAGCCAAAAAGAAATAAAACTTTCCCCTCGGCATCTGTGGCTGCTCTGACCGGGACAGCGGTGGGGATGGAGCAGTGGGAAGGGGCTGTGCATCCCCTGAGCTCTCTGCATGGATCTGGGAGTGCTGGGGGGCACAGAGCAGTACCAAGGGGCTGTGCACCCCCCCCAGCTCCCTGCCTGCTCCAGGGCATTAGTCGGTCATGTCAGACCTGAGTGGAAGGCGACAGAGCCCCCCCCCACTCAGTGAATCCCAGAGAAAAGACCCTGGAGCACATTTTTGGGCAGTTTTGCTCTTTTATGGCATCTCCAGGCAGTGATAGTCCCGGGTGTCCCCAAGCACCAGGCAGGGCCCTGCTTTGCCCGTGAGGGTCTCAGCTGGAGCTGGCAGAGCCAAGGATGGGGTCTGGGGGGGTGACCCCTCCCTGGAAGCTCTCGGGGTGTGCTGTGTCCTGATGTCCCCGAGCACGACCCCGCCCCAGCTCGGGGCTCATTTCTGGGGACGTGGCTCTTGCTTGGTGGCGAGGAGGGGGTCGAGGTCTTTGAGCACCTTCCGGTTGACCGCGACCCCCGCCAGGTACTGCTGGAGCAGCTCCCGCAGGTGCCGGTTCCTGTTCGCCAGGGCCGCCCGTGTCCGCTCCAGCACCTTCTCCTCCAGCTTCGCCTTGTTGAACCGCTGCCAGAACCTCTCCAGCCCCACGTAGTCCTGCGCGGCCTGGGGGGAGCCAGGGACGAGAGCTGGGGGGTCCTCAGGGCCTCAGTTCCCCGTGGGCACATCCAGGACCCCCTGGGCGGTGCCCCCTCACCTGCGCCAGGGGCTCCACGGGGGTCTCCTGGAGGACTCTGCGGGCGTCCTGCAGCTCCCCCTCGGCCAGCGAGGAGGGGTAGAAGGGCAGCACCTTCTCCTCCTCCGTCTCCAGCCGGCGGCACATCTCGGCCAGGCGCAGGATGCGCTGGGCCTGGGGGAGGATAACACGGAGAAGGGCAGGTGGGAGAGGACACCGGGACACTGGGATGTCCCCCCTTGGCTGGCACTGCCAGGCTCACCTTCTCCACCACCTTCAGCAGCGCCTTGAGGGCGGCCCCGCTCTGGCAGCTGAGCGTGGCCAGGTCGGCGCGAGCCGCGGCCACCGCCCGGGTCACCTCCTTGCGGAGCTCCTGGAGCTGCCTCAGGGCCTCTTCCTTCCCCTCCCGGGCCCGCTGGATCTGCTCCTCGCTCTCCCGGGCGTGAGCCGCGATCTGGGCCCTGGTGGCCACCACCGTGTCCTGGCGGAACAGGGGGTTGGGTGCCGGGGGAAAATTCCTTCGTGGGAAGGCTGGTGGGGCGCTGGAATGGGGTGGTCAGGGCGGTGGTGGATGTGCTGTCCCCTGGGGGTGTTCAAATAACGGCTGGATGTAGCTTAGTGGTGGCCTGGGTAGTGTTGGATTGATGATTTGGACTCGATGGTCTCAGAGGCTTTTCCAGCCTTAACGATTCCATGATTTTATGAGCCACAGCTCAGGTGCTGCAGCACAAGCTCTTTGGGGGGCCCCTGCTTAGCCCAGCCCATTGTCACTTCCTGGTT